GGTGCAACATCAAAACAACTTGGTCAGCCATCTTGGGCTTCAGCTAACCCATCTATAAAATGAAAATTTCTCTCTGTGTCAAATGGGATTCCTATAAAGACTAACTGAGTTAATACGAAGTGGCTAATACATGGTATTTTCTGGCCATTTTCAATGGGCAGGAAGATCGTAGCTTGGTCCTGGGATTCACTCTGAGTTTCCTGATCAGCTGCTCTTCCACTGGTGACATGATGTCACTGAAGAAATAAAAGAACAGAATTCTTTGTAGAGTTCCTAGATTCTGAGATGATTCTGCCCATGACGGAGACCATTGAAACCATGTCTGACCTCTTCATTCATTATTGCCTGAGCCCTACTGGTAGAATCTGAGCATTTGAGAGTTGTATAGTGATTTTCTCTGAACTAAAAAATTTCATCCTGCAGGGAAGCTCATAAATATTCAGGAAAGTGTGTGTGTTTGTGTGTGTGTGTGTGTGTGTGTGTGTGTGAGAGAGAGAGAGAGAGAGAGAGAGAGAAAAGTGCTCTTAACTGCTGAGCCATGTCTCCAGCCTCCAATACCTTGTACGTTTTTGAGTTGTTTGTTTGTTTTGTTTTGTTTTTCTGAGACAGGATTTCATTGTGTAGCTCTGGCTGTCCTGTAGCTCACTCAGTAGACTAGAATGGCCTCATAGAGCTCTGCCTGCCCTTAAGGTAGACTATTTAAGACTTAGAAATAAACAACTCAGAAGTCTCAGGAAGTCCCTGAATCTTATCAGACTCACAAAGCTCCATTCTCCCAATGGTTGTAGAAACAGAAGAGATGGGGTGACTGAGGAGGAGAGACTCTCCCACCAGTCAAGTTGGCTACAAGTTATGGAAAGAGCTCCAAGGCCCCAGCTTCTGAGTCTTCCTTCAGGCTAGGGTGGGCTTTAGTGATAAAGCTGCCTTTAAGTCATCCTTACTTCTGTAAGAAACACTTCACCCATACTTTCAAAAAAAAAAAAAAGCTCATTTGTTACCAAATTGGACTTTGGTAGTATTAGTACTTTGATCTGTCACTAGTTCCCTATCTGGGGTGAGCAGACTATTATTCATGTCTCCCCAGAAATAATTTCACACCAAACCATGTTTCTAGGCTTTAAAGTACTGATAAAGGCAAATTCCTAGATGAATGAGGCTTACTTAGGTCAGGGCTAGACAGACACCATGAGTAACCTTGATGATAAAGAAATCAAAAAAAATTGGGAAATTTGTCTGAATCACTGATATGTATCTCTCAGGTCAGCAGTAGCTTCCTTTCTTGATAATCCAAAGACGTGAGAAACTTGACATGATTCATGTGAATTTATCCTTTGTGGCTGTGTCCTTGAGTAGCTTTCAAAACCTCACATACAACTGGATTTTTGCCATTTTAAGTTTCATGATCTTCTCTTTCTGCAATCTTTAATCTCCTGTCCTTTTCCATATCTCTGGATAGTCCTCCATAGTCTCACAGGCCACCTTCCTCCTTCAGCCACACACTAAGGACTTCTTTGTTGTAGGCCCAGCAGTAGCTCTTGTTCCTGTCTGTGAGGGTCTGAGTGAGAAGTGTCCCCATAGGCTCATGTGTTAGGACATCTGGTCCCCAGTTGGCAGTACTGTGTACAAGGCTATGGAATCCTTAAGACTCTTGCTGGAGGAAGTACATCACTGAGGATGCGCCTTGAGGATTTGTAGCCTCACCCAACTTCCTACTCCCACTGTCTGCTTCCTGTGAATGGATGAAATTCTATCTCTCTGATTCCTAACTGCCAGTCCAACCGCATACTCCTGCTTCTTTGCTTTCCCCGCACAATGGACACCTCTGCCTCTGAACTATAAGAACCTTTACCTTTAACTCACTGTTTGCCAGGGTCTTTTCTCACAACCTCAGGAAAGCCACAAATGCACCATCTGCCCCGTAACTCTACCAACCTGTTCTTCTAGCTTCAGACCCACTCTCTGACTCCAAAATAGGTCACGTACATGCCTCTGGCAACATTGCCAGAGGAGCATTTCCTGCCTCAATCAGGGACAACTAGACTCCTTCAGCAGTACTGGTGATTGTATCCCAGGGTGCCAAAACCAAGAGGATGTGAGACTGGGCTACTGATGACTTATTTCTAGGCACTGCAACACAGAAACTGACTAAAGGAGAAGTGGGAGAAGATTCCATTGGTTCTTTTTTTTTTAAGATTTATTTATTTATTAAGTATATAGTGTTTTGCCTGCCTGCATGCCTGCAGGCCAGAAGAGTATACCAGATCTCATTACAGATGGTTTTGAGCTACCGTGTGATTGCTGGGAATTGAACTCAGGACCTTTGGACGAGCAGGCAGTGCTCTTAACCATTGAGCCATCTCTCTAGTCCTTAGTTTCATCAGTTCTAATGCTTCCTGGGCTCATAAACTGTAATGTGCTTCTTTACATCAAATTGAGCAGCTCCTGTTAGTTGTTTCAGGGTTGCTATCACTTTAGATGCTTCTAGGAGACTTTGTCCAGCATGGCTTCCCATTTCTCCCTCCAGCTTTTTTCCCCCTCTGAGCTATGGCCCACTTCCTACTCTATGTTAGCAGTCCCAGGGGGTCCCTCGGCTTTGGCATCTCTAAGTTTATCTAAGCTGCCCACCTTTGTGTGGTCTTGCCTGTGGTGATGCCTTCCTATGTCCCCAAACCTGCTCCTCGCTCTTCCTGTCCCACTCACGTCAATCACTAGACTCCACCACTCCTTCTTTCATGGTTTCTTACAACTGTCCTTTCGGCTGATGTCCTGCCGCTGTGTAGGCTGGAGGCTCTGTTCTGTTTGTTTGTTTGTTTGTTTGTTTTTATGTGACCTCAACTCAGTTCTTCAATTCTCAATTCTGCTGACACTTTATAACCAGAAGAGTGAGCTTCCTCAGGGATAGCCTGGTGACACCAGTCTCTTTGCACTGGGGCTTTAATGTGGAGACAATTGTCGCATCTGCAGGATTCCTATTCCCAAACCTGACCCACACCCCTCTGCCCACAGACTCAGTCCTCTGTCTCCGGCTCTGCTCTTCCTCTGTTCTCCAGCTAACCATGATCTGAATGTTGGTGAAAATTCATGGATTGGAACTCCATGCAGGGTGCAATAGTATCAATGAGAGGTGTGTGGGGGGCGGTTCTGGATAGGATTAAGTCAAAAGGTCTTGTTCTCGTGAGTTATATAAAGAACCAATGCCCTTATGAAAAGGCAGGGAGAGGGGGCGGTGGTTTATTTGTCCTCCCCTGCTCTGTGAGGACACAAGTCACCATCTGTGAAGCCCAGAACAAGCCTTTGAAAAACCCTGAATGGGCTGGCACTTTCATCTTCACGGCTGGCCTTCTGAGCCTCTGGCACTGGGATTTCTGTTGTTGTAAATTATACAGTCTGAGGGCGTTTCCCCCTCCTCCTTCTGTCCGTCCTGTTCCCTCCCCCCACTCCCTGCCCCCCCTGTTCCTCCTCTCCTTCTTGTGTATAGGCTGCCAAGTGAGCACTAAGGTATTCTCTTAGAGTAGCCCAAGTGGACGAAGATATGGCCCAAACTCTGCTTTCCTTCTAAGAACTTTTTCTGATGACCTGGGTGGAAAAGAGTTCTCCAGAGGGTCCCTGAGCAGCTTTTATGATGTGAACAATGCTTTAAGGACAAGGGAGCCTGCTGTGTGCCGGGAAGCCTGTGTGTTACCAAAGCTAAAGCAGTCTCCCAACATGCTCTCAGTCTACTAGTGAGACTTGGCAATGTAGCGCAGACCTCAGCTCTGCTCTTTCCTTGTAAGGGTTCTGTATTTGCCTTTTCTCTCTGACTAACGTATAGGCTATTTTCCAAAACAGACTCGAACATAGTTCCTGGTATATTGTCCCATATGTGGTAATCTCTCGATAAATATTTCTTAAGTTATGTAAACCAGGATCTTGATTAATACCTAGTGGTAGGAAGTGAATAAATGCTTTTCTTAAAATATAGATCCAAGCTTAAGGCTTGCCACATGGCCTGTTGAATAATAAAGGTTAGCAAATTCTGAGAAACCGTTCACAACCATGCTACCCCGAACACCCTCCGTAGCATAGGGCCTGCATCTGACTCACAACAACAGTACTATATTTTGAGTGACTTTACAACAGAATTTATGTCTTGTGGTCCTGCATATTCATAGATTTAAGATTAGGATTCTGATAGATTTGGTGCCTAGCAAAGACTGGCTTCCTGATTCAGTTTCCTGGTTTACTCATGGCCCATCTTTTCCTCGTATCTTTACGTGGAACAAAGGAAGGGAGAGCTCTATAGAATCCTTTAATAGGGCACTAATCCCATTCATGAGAGCTTCACCCCTGACTTATTTATCTATCAATGGTCCCACTTCTTAATCATGACATAGAGGATTAGGACTTCTACCTAGGTATTTGCGAGGAAAGCAAGAGAGAGATATATATACTAACTATAGCTTCCTGCTATTCCCCTAATGGGAGAGAATAACAGCTATTCTGTGTGCTGTTACAATATGCTAAGTTAAACGATAAAGACTTAAAATGATAATTACAACCAATTAAATGTTACCAATGGTACTGTAACACACACACACACACACACACACATATATATATATATATATATATATATATATATATATTCTTCAGTTATTAGAGAGTTACTCTCTGCCTTGAGGGTTTCCTTTGAGCTCTTGACTCAGGATAAGATGAAGCAGCAACATCAAAGGCAAAAGTGACTGGATAGACTTCAAAACGTAGAACACCAGGGAGCTAGGCTATTGGGAAATGTCACCAAGGAAATATACAAACAGGTTAAACGCACTTTCGAGCCGGTTATTTCATTCATTCGTTTCACTCCCTCAAGGAATTTTCAAACCCGTAGGTAATTTTCCGAGTGAGGGGTACCTGTTTGGAGCTGGGAAGATGGCTCAGTGGTGAAGAGGATGTACTGTTCTTGCAGAAGACCTGAGATGGGCTTCCAACCATCTGCAACACCGTCTCCAGGACATCCAGCTCCGTCTTCCTGGCCTCCACAGGAACCTGAATTCACGCATGCGCATGTGAGCACCCGTGCACTTAAGAAATAACGCAAATCTTTTTAAAATGCCTGTTAGAAAGACTGACCATGGCAGGTTATTTAAATCTTTTTGCTTAGGAGGAAATAGAAAGTTTATCAATAAACAACACTATTGAAAGTGTTTTCTCTTTTGCCCATCTGCTGACAGAAAAGCATTCATACCATTAAAATCTTGACCCAAGTAAGAAAGAGGGACTTCTTGTTTTATTCCGGACATTCTAGCCCAGAATTCAGCAGCTGCTCCGGCATTTGAGATCTGTGGAATGATTTCAATATATCACATTCAGAAGTCTCAGAAATGAAGGACTGAAGCTTTCTCGCAGAAAGGGCTAGCCTACAAAACTTGAAGCCACATGATGTTGTATCAATAAAAGTACAGGTTAAAGGTTTCTTCTCAGCGGATTTTGTTACTAAGATCATAGCTGTGATCCATTTGTAATTTATCATCATTGCATGTGCACAATAAAATGTTAACTATTGATCACCATGAAAGCGTGTTTAATAGGCAATCTACTAAACCTTGAGTTTGAAAAAAAAAACAATTCTTAGACTGAAGATGTTTCTCTAAAATTGGGTTGTTTTTTTTTGTTTTTGTTTTTGTTTTTTTGTTTTTTTTTTGGTTTTTTTGGCCAGGTGCCTTAAATCCCAGCACTCAGGAGGCAAAGGTGGGTAGATCTCTGTGAGTTGGAGACCAGTCTGGTCTATACTAGTTCCAGACTAGCCAGGGCTATCTAATGAGAACTTGTCTCAAAACGAACCAACTGAGTAATTAAAAAAAACAAAACAAAACAAAACAAAACAGTGCTGTGTAATGACTGGCCTGGTGAGCGGCCAGGCTGGTGAGCAGAAGCAGGTTGGACAGGCAAGGGAGCAGATTCTTATCGCACAGGATTTCAACTAATTTTGGTAGAAACATAACTGTTGAATAGTGCATAATTATTTTCACAAAATCCACAGCCACAGCTGGCAATCTCTCCATGACTAACCCTGCCAGATGTTTCTGGTTTTGCTGAGTCACTTTTTCTCCCCCACTCAGAACTCTGTGTTCTCACCAACTCTGAATTCCCTCTGGTTTCTTCTCACATTTTGCCTTTTACCTGCATTGGGGAGGCTTTAAATTGCTCTTTCCCCCTTCTCCCATGCATATTACCGTTGTTTTTTTTTCTAAATTACTCTAATTTTACCTTTTGTCATAAATCTTAACCTGTTCCTTCCCTAGGAAGACAGACGTTTTGAGGAAATTACACTAAACAGCCATTAAGCCTGTCTATCAACAGTCTCATCACAACCCATGACTAGGCAGATTCTGAATCACCCTAGAATGTAGGCTGCTAGAAAAAAAGAACAGCTCCCAAACTTCTTCGTTCTGTGCTGAAACTACCTCTTCTCCAGTTGGAAGTCCTGGGAGCCAGAAATGGCCGGCTGTGGAACAGCGCGGAACAATACAGCCGTGCCGGTGCCTTTGGATTCGCATAGATTTGCGTTTTCTCACCCATCCGACCGGCTCACTGCCTGGCTTCAGGGACAGAGTGCGTCTCTTGAATGTTAATTAAAACCTTCAGCTGTGTGCATGGCTGCATAATAATCTTCACTGATTCAAACCTGCGAGGCACCTCCTAAGAGCTGGCAACTTGTCCTAAGGGCTAAAGGGAGAATATGTGACTCCCCCACCCGCTGAGAAAAGCTTGAATGGGGTAGACTGACAAACTATGTCAAGTGCTTGATGAATTGGTGAAGCTGGGAGCATGCTCTACAAACGTGCACAGGAAGGGCTGAGAGCTTGTCATGGTCATTTGCAGACTCCTCATCAGCCACATTTCACCACTGGTTATGCAAAAGGAAATCGCGCTTTCTACGTGTCTTCATGCATGTGTGTTTTAGGGAATAGCCAACAGGATATTTCTGCCGACAAACAATAGGTTCCCCAAACTGCAAGTGTTTTCCGCGCCATGGCAGGACACTTTTGAGTGTCTGTGAATGGAAAAATTGATCATTCTCTGAACCGTTTTCTTGATGCAATCTTCCTTTGCTCGGTCAGGAGTAGAAGGCAAGAGGGAAAGCCCCTGGCATAAGGGACCAGATAGCGCCACGTTGTGCCTGCCGTTAGGCCAGTGAGTCCATAGGAGCGGCTGGCCGCAGGGTTGGTATTGTAAAAGGATGTCGAGGAGGTTCTGCCCTGTCTGTTCTCAGACATAATCGGGAAGCCTAATCAAAGTCACTGTAAGTGTGACGACAGTTTAGTGCCTTTTTACACTCCTCAGAGCCTACAAGGTGGACCTGAGCTTGACTTTACTGAAGGAAGTGGGGAAAAAAATGTAGGAAGCAGTGTTTCTCAACCTGTGGTTCGCAACTCCTTGTGGGGATTGAAAGATCCTTTCACGAGGCCGCCGAAGACCATAGGAAAACGCAGATATTTACATTACAGTTCATAACAGTAGCAAACTGCATTTATGAAAATAATTTTATGGTGGGGGTCAGCACAACCTGAGGAAGTGTATTAAAGGGTCGCAGCGTCAGGAAGGTTGAGAAGCACTGCTTCTCAAAGGAAGGAATAAGTTGAATACTCAACCAAGAATGAGAAGAAATCTCTTGACAGGACGTTGGCCAAATGCTACCAATAGGATCAGTGACGTCCTCAGACCCGAACAGCTTCACAGCAAAACCTAGAAAAGGAAAGCGGGAAACAGACGAAAACCAAAGCTTGCGCGGCGACACCTGGCTGCGGCTAGGCTCAGTGACAGAGGTGTGCTTGGCACGGGTGGCCTCCTGGGTCCATCCCCAGCATCTAGAGAGGAAAACAGACAACTGGAAGCCCCAATGTCATTTGTTTTTCAGTTTCATTTTTTGTTTCTCTGCATTTTGGAGGAATTCGCTCTAAACCCACAGCTGTCTTCCTCAACGTGAGTGAGAACCATTTTTCCTGGAATCCCCTAACTACAGACGTCAAGCTCAGATTCTCCCAGACTTCAAGCTCCTCGGTCCCTCTCTGAAGCTGGGAACCGGAACCCGGACGGGGTGAGGGTGGGGGAGATGCCAAGTGGCCTTTAGACCTAATCCAGGGCATTTGTCCATGGCAGACACGTGCATTTACTGCATCGCCCTGCATAACATACCAAGGGACTGACTGAATGTTCTGCTAACCACGGGGTGCTCGGGCAGAGTCTTGGAACTGCACTTGTCTACTGGGAATGATCCGGTGAGCCTGATATATCTTGTGCTAAGGGCGCAGCCTTCAAGGAAAGCAAAGGGAAAGTAAGGCTCCCTTAACTTTCAACTGAGGTCCCTCCAGCACGACTCCTTTCTCCCTCCCAGACTACCAAGGCTGTTCATCCAGGGATCGGCCGGCAGCCTGGATTCGCAGCACCTGGATCCGCCTGCGCCGAAGGGGCAGCTGGGTGCTCGACGGCGCTGTTGAATCACGGGTGAGTCACCCCTTTCGGGGTCTCGGAGTTTCCTATGGGAGGAGGCGGGGCAGGGGTGTGGATTGACCGGGAGCCGCCCACCGCCAAGATGAGTGACCGGGGCTGGGGGGCGGGGAGTCGCCGGCCTCTGCGGAGGCGGCGCGGGGTGGAGAGGCGCCCGTGGCCGCTCTGCCCTTTATAACGCGCCCCGCGCGGACCCCGGCAGCCTGGGTAGAGCCGGTACCCATCACCCACTCCCCCCGATCGCCTCCGCAGCGCAACCTCCGCGTCGCCACCGAAGCCTTGCGACCTCCCGCCACCAGCCCTCGGACATGGCGATCCCCGTGCTCCCGCGCCTCCTAGCGGCGCTTGCGCCCACCTTTCTCGGCTGCCTCTTCGTCCAGGTGGCCCCGGCTGCAGGTGAGTGGCACCGATCATGAAAAGCCCAGAGCACACGGGAGACAGGGGATGTACCTGGCTAAGTGGGGGTTGCTGTGGTTCCTTGGGGACCCTAACGTGTCCCGCCCCACCTGTGGACGTGGACTCGGCTGCGCTTGTCCTGAGGGTTTGAATGAAAACAGGACGGAGAGGTAGTTGATGCCCAAGCCGGCTTTTGCCGCCACTGGAGATGCCTGCTCTGTGCGTTTACCACGGTTGCACAATGATCGGTGGTTCCTGCTTTGACTTTGAGGAAAGAGCTGCCTAGGAAGTTGAACCCTTGAAGGTAGCGGGTGCGTGGATCCGTCTCTGTCCAAGTCTGCGTGCTTCCGGTGGCTTGCATTTTATCTTTGACAAGGTGTGCGCCTTCCCGTAGCAAACAGCTATTCTTGCGGCCTTTAGTTTAGATCTGGCAGAAGCAATCCTGTTATAAACTCAGGCAGACAGAGTTCATACCCCACATCTACCCAATGTTTGGGGCGAGGCAGAGACTGAATGAATCCCGAGGACTTGCAAAAAGAGACGTTAATAACAGAGTATTTTTAATGAAATGGCATCCCACCACGTGACAGGTGCCGCGTGGGTCACGCATCTACTTTGCTCTCCGTGGGAGTTTCAGTGTAGAGATATTTTAGATTACATTGTCAAGTTTGACTTTTTTCGTTTATATACACTCCTGAATCGTCTTACCTGTGTGGAACGTGCCCTCTTTGGAATTTATTCAAACCCACCTTTGCGTCTACTTTGATCCTGTGTCAGAAGGGTCTCTGGCACGTATGTAGACCTTGGGTCCTCTTACCACGTCGCCATAAAGTGGGCTTTCCCTTAAATAGTTTAAACAAGGACTTCAGGGTCTTTAGCTACTTCCACGGACTGTGGTGTGGATGTTACCAGGAGCACGATATGGGTCTAGAAAAAAAATGGACACACACACACACACACACACACCGTCTCTGTTCTTCCTAAGTTAGCGATGTTTTGTAATTGACATTTAAAATGTGCTCCTTCTGCTGGCGGTCGCTGAGTAGGTGTTTCATGAACGAAGAAGTGCATGCAATTATAGTTCTCTTGTGTTCTTTGTAGGTACTCTACAGAAGGCGTTTAATTTAACTTGGAAGTCAACTAATTTCAAGACCATTTTGGAGTGGGAACCCAAACCCATCGGTTATGTCTACATTGTTGAGATAACGTAAGCTAAGTTCAAAACGAAAAGATAATGTTTTTGTCCTTACTAACTCTTTAAAACTGTTGCTAGGTCGGACTGTTCAGCAAACGATAGAGATTTCATGGTATTTTGCCAGGCCGTCATGTCCCATCAAGGTGAAAATATTTCCATACTTTCAACGGGTATGACAGGAGCTGGGGATGTACCTCAGTTTGTTGAGTGTGCATCTTAGCACATTTAAAGCCCTGGGGTAGGTCCCTGGCACTGCACAGAATTGGTATGGTCTCACCCAGGAGGTGGAGGCAGTAAGATTTAAAATTCACGGTCAGTCTTAGCTATATATAGGAGTTCCAGGCCATCCTGCAATATGTGGGATCCTGTAGCAGAATAAATAACTAAACAATAAAAATAAATAAATAAAATGATGTAATGTCTAGTTATTTGGGGGAAATTATAGGAAAAGTAGTAGGTGCGTATAAGCTGTAGAGAGGTGAGCCTAGTCACGCAGGCACTTAGTGGGATAAATGGCAGCTAATCTCCAAAAAGCACCAATATACTTTTCCCGGTTGCTAGCTATCTAGACTAGGGCTCCTGGCATGTCAGGGAGAGGTAGGAGGAATCTCAGTGTCTACACTGCCCTGAAGCAGCATTTGATTAATTTATCTATGGACTCTGGGAACCAAATTTTGGTTGTACTCATTATCTTGGTGGAAGCCGAATTTCTGACTCACTGAGCTGCTTAGAAAACACTGAAGGACTGTCTATATCTTCTGCCATTTGGGGACAGCTTGCCTCATTCAAGCCTGTTCACTGATTGACAGCTCTCAGGAATAAATAAGTCAACACTTTAAATCTAAGTATCAGGGTGTGCCACGTTTTCCTTTGACGGTTTTCACACATTCTTGGCAAGCCTTTGGCTTCTGATAGGATCTAAGAGATGTACAAGGAGCTTGAGAAATCGAGGCTGCCTGGTGTGGACATTATTTCAATAGCGGTGACGTAAAGACGTAGAGCATCATTGGCAAAAGTCAAGCATGTTTTTGCTTCTTGGTTTTGCTGTTTCAGCTTGTTCCAAACATTTTATAGTTACAACTCTCAAGTGTGGGTCTTTTAAATGTCTGTCTTGTTTTTCTAAATGATCCCCATGACTATTGACAAACCAAAGGGAAGAGAATTTGAGTATGAGCACGCATGCATATATGCATGTATAGCTATGCATAGATATATAGAGATAAAGAAATTTCATAATCTATTATTACCATTGTAGTCAAACTTATCAGTTAAAGGCTGGCAATTTGGTTCAGTGGTAGAATCCTCTTCTACTATGTACAAAACCTTGGGTCCCATCTTTAATCCATGCCCCCCAAATTTAGTTGAGCTGGTAATGGTGGAACATACCTATAATCCCTGCACATCTTGGTCATATGAAGCAAGAGGATTAGGAGTTCAAGGCTACACATATGCTCAATGCCAACTGGAGCTACATAGTGAGACCCTGACTCGAAACAAATTCAAATCTTGCCAATTCATATTTTAATAGTTGAGAGTTATTAAAGTTATCAATTTCCTTTATACAGACCTGACATTTGCCTTAGGAAATGCTTTCCTTCTAGATAAAAAGATTAGATTTTGGGAGTAGCTATTATCTTCTAAATATATCATCTTATTTGTAACGACATTGGGAATATATCTTGAATTGACTAGGTTTTTTAAATGTTAGCCTTTATTAGCAGTAATTTTTAAGGGGGTCATTATTGAGAGTAGTAGGACTTACGATCTACGAACACGAGAGCTCAGGGCACAACTTAGGGATGCCCGCAGACTTGGGTATCCTACGAGCCAGGTCACCCTCCTCAGGCAGGCCCTTGCTTCTGAGTTGGCTGATCCTGGAAGCATTTCCATCAGTCAGTGCCTGAGACCTGAGCTAGCTTTCGCCTTTCTCAGGGGAAAGGGGATTCTAGGGCTAAGGGAACCGTAGCAGCCATGTTGGAATCTAGACAGTTCTGGTAAGCCAGCGGCATACACTGACGGTTCCTGGTGATTGCCCAGGCTGCCTGGAACCAAATGTACCACATCTCTGTTAGTCTGAAACAAGGTTGGGAGGAAAACCTCACTCGTCACTGCTTCTCCTGGATTTCCTTTATTTCTGATCTCCCCACGAAGGAGGCAGCATCTTAACAGGGGACCCCGTTCCCCACCCCCACCATGCTGCTGAAGCTTGATTGTACGGTGCTGGACCCAGGACAGCTCTGTGGTGCCAAAGCCTCTTGGCTGAGCCCACAGCATCTTCTCTGAAAATAGGCTCAGTGGTAGCTGGGAAGCCTCCGAGGCCCAGCCTCAGCCCCATGTGCCGTGTGCCATCCAGTCCGTAGTGTGTGCTGAATTCGGAAACTGAATTGAGAAGTGTCCAGACACAGTCTCTAACTCAATTAGTGAGTGTCTGTTTGCTGTTGGAACTCCTCAGCAAACTAGGAGGGACTTTTATTTCCAAATTTGGGGAGTTTTTCACTAACCTAGAGGGACCTTGAATACTTTTAAAGTGGTTGTGCTCTTGGCAACACCCAGAGGACCTCACTGGAGAATTGTCCTCTCTTTGACCTGTTGTCACGGGACAATGTAGGCCCCTGTCCTAAATTTTTTTTAAGAGCGCACATGTTCCTACTTTGTGAGCTGGGCAGAACAAAACAGCACATCTCTCAGC